GGCTCCGTGTGCCAAGTCCTCCTGAGAAGCTTTGCCCCAGGGCTTGCCTGCAGTCAGCAAATCTCCTGCCAGCACAACTACAAATCCCAGATGAGCCCATGAGGATTGTTGTTCTAATTAACTAATGAAGTCGTCTTCTGTTGGGAAGATGGATAATCTGAGCTGGAGGCTTCCTCTCTGTTGTGGGGGAGGACCTGGAGCAACACCCACCTCCTCTCAAGGGACCTCATGAATGTTTGTACACCCCGAGGTTGTACTTGCTGCAGGGAGGTGCCAAGTGCTCCCAGACACAGCATATCCCTGCACCCTGCCTTCAACCTACCTTCAAAAACCTGTCTGACCCCATCCTCTGTCTGGCAGGTCCAAAGCTAGCTTGGCTGCTCTCATCCCTGAGTTTTCACTTTGGTCTCATAATTTTCAGGCAAATCACAAGAGAAAAATTAACGTTTGAGGAGGGTGAAGTCTGTGCAGGATCTCTGTGAGCTGCAGCCATGCGCAGCACAGGAGGATGCACTTCAAAGGGAGGAGCCACTTCATTAAAAAAGAGAACTAGGGCTTTTGATATCAAGATAAACATCCTGATACACATCAAAGCATCTTCTCCTTGTCCTTAGACACCCTCTCCTGCTTCACTTGAGTTCTGGATTTTGGAATTATACCTCTGCCTAATCCATGCTGTGCTGCATCCCATCTAGATGGTTGTTTGTGGGGGAGATTCTGGGTGCTCTTTTCGGTGTGTGGGACCTTCAGGTCATGTCCATGAGCCTAAACACTCTCTCATTGCCTTCTGTTCCACATAGGAAGAACTAAGAGCTGCTGGTGAAAGTGATTCTATTTCCATTGAAAAAAATAATGTTCTTTAAAACAGAGTGCAATAGAGAAGGGGCCAAAGGCCAGCTGGATTGTCTGAGAGCCCAGTAGCATCCATCCCTCTGGACACCCTGCCCGAGTGGCTGCAGGCCCATCCCTGGCAGCAGGTTGGGCATCCAGCAGCCTGGGAGAGTGAACTGAGGTGCGAACACTGACCACTGGCACAAGAAGGGGCATGAGGATGCAGGGGCGGTGTGTGCACAGGGTGGGAGTCACACCATGATAAACCTCTCCTTCCGTATTTAGAGATTATGAGAATGATTTCATAAGACTCAAGAGCCATGTCCTCTTCCTAATGCCAATACCTCGTGCTTTTGCTGTGGCCAGCAGCTTTAACAAGGTGGCCATTGGAGCTCAGCTGCAGGGTGAGCTGTGGCCAGGGGATCTGTGTACCCCTCACCAGGTGACCCCAGGCCTTGGGGCACTCTTTGGGAGAGGAAAGAGAAGTGGAGTGGCTGATACAGTGGGGAAGACACAGGACTGAGCATTCAGGTATTAGCAGCCAACCACAAACACAGCCCAAAGCTCCTCTCAGGGCACTCATTTGGGTCACATTACCTGTACCCTAGGTTTGTGAGGTGGGACTGGGCTCAAGTGGGCACAGAGAACCACGTCCAGGTCACAGCGTGCTGACTGGGAGTGAGGTACAGGGGCAAAAAGCTTGCTGCCGCTAGCAGATAACAACTTTATTATTTCAGTTCTACATATTAAACATAGGCTCTGGACTGAGGCAGGCCATCCAGGAGGGAGAGGATCAGGAGAGTGGTACAGTTTGATTTGTTCCAGAATGGGTTAAAAAAGGAAAAAATCCTCCCCTCAAGCCTCCACTATCCCAGGGATCCATTCTAGCTGCCCTGGTAGCTGGCTGTCGGGTTTCAGCTGCCCTGTGCAAGCTGTTGTGTGTGACAGAGGCGGGAGGATTTGTACACCCAGGCTGCCCAGAGCAGCATCCTCAAGGTCCCTGGGCCACCAGACACAGACACTGACATCCTGCTGAGACATGCTGGTGCTTCCACTTGTGTTTCTAGCCTGGAGAAGATCTTGCATGCCCCAGAAGAAGCCCACCCTTTTTTTCCTGTACTCTCCTGGCTGTCACTCCAGCCCTGCAAGTGCAGACATTTGCATGTGTCTGGAGGGGGACGGTCTCACCAGCCAGGGCTTGTGATGGACGGCCGTGTCTATCTCAAACCCTTCCCATCTCGTTATGCTTGCTGGAACCGCCATCTGCACTGCATCCCAGGACTCGCTGGGAAGAGCCTGGGGTCCAGCCCTACTCCACTGTCCCTCTGGCACCGCTCGGAGCCCAAGCTGGAGGGGACAGGGGGCACGGGAGGCCGTGGGCACGGGATGCACGGGATGCACGGGATGCACGGGATGCACGGGATGCACGGGATGCACGGGATGCGGGCGTAGAGCACCGTGCGAGTACCACAGCCTGCTCCTGGCAGGACACCGCCCGCCCGCCCGGCAGCCCCTGCACGCAGGAGGCGGTGGGTGAAGCGGAGCCCTCAGGGGAGTAGCGGTGGGTCAGCCCCTTGGCATGGCGGACACCTTGCCGGGTCGGCGATGCCCCAGGCCGTGCGGGCCGGACCGAAGCGGACCGAGCCGGACGGAGCCCCAGGTCACCCCGCAGGAGCCCCGGGACCGCCCCGAGTGGGGCTGCCCCGGCCGTGACGTCATGGAGCCCCGCCTCCTGCCCCGCCCTCTGCGAGAGGGTGGTGTTCCCGGCCAGACCCGCCCATCTCTCCTTTCTGCGTTTCTATTGGCTGATGAGCTGTCACTCCAGCTAGGCCACGCCCCGCGCGGCAGGGCAGGGAGCTGCCGCCCGGGCACCGCGGTCCGTGCGCTCACGGCGCACCCCCGAGCATCCCCTTTGCACCGCTCTGCAGCCCCGCCGCCACCCTGCTGCACCCCGGCACCCCTCACTGCACCCCCTGCACCCTTCGGTGCCGCTCACTGCACTGCATTTCACTGCAACTCCCTGCGCCTCTCACTGCAGCCCCTGCACCCCACGGGACCCCCTACTGCCCCTTCAATGCACCCCTCACTGCAACCTCGTTGCACCCCTCACTGTGACGCCCTGCACCTCTCCCTGCACCCCCTGCACCGTTCACTGTACCCCCGTCGCACGCTCCATTGAAACCCCTGCTCCCCAGTATCTCACATCGCTATGTCCCATTTGTACCTCCGGTGCTATCCCATGTACCCCCGACCTGCTGCCCTCAGGACAACCCCTGACCCCCCAGTCTGTGCTGCAACACCACCCTCCTCAGCAGCCAGCTTGGTCCTGCATCCCCATCTCAGAGCACCCCTCACTGTCCTTCACCCTCCTGCCAGGGTCCTGCACGGAGAGGGGACAGCCCACCTCACTGCTCCAGCACCCCAGAGCTGAAGGAATGGTGCTGTGGTGTCCCAGGGCTGAAGCAGTAGGTGTAAACTCAAGTGACAAACATGTCAGAATGGCAGGGAGCAAGCCAGGGTGTTGGGGCGTGTGGTGGGATGATGGGGATCATAGCAAGGTAAGTGTGGAGCACAGACAGCCACAGCCCAACCATTGCAACTTCACCAGAGCAAGCAGCAGGGCTCAGGAAGGGAGATTCCACCTTTCTCTTCTCTTTGCCCACCCTGAGAGGTCCCAGGGAGAGTAATCTGGGGCAGAGATGGTTGCAGGCAGTGGCCCCATCACAGTGAGGCTTGGAGCCAGCACTGCTGGCCAGCAGCCAGGTGGTTTCTGCTCCAGCTTGGGAACACAGAGGATGTTTTGTATGCAGTGGTGGGAGCATCATGCCCACCAGGGCTGGCCCTGCTCCCAGCAGCCCCACAGACCCCAGCTCCCTGCCCACTGCATCACGAGGCCAGCGTGCCTCTGTGGAATGCCTTTCTCTCCGACCCGGTATGGGATGAGGGACAGTGCCGGGGGGGTCACGGGCTTTCTCAGAACTACCCACCCATGTTTCTCCCCTGCCAGATGACGTCTGGGCTGGGATGTTGTGGCCCACTGCTGCTGTGGCACATGCTGTCCCCTGCCACCTCGTTGTTGGGCCCTGTGACTGTGCCCCTGGTCCCTCGCCATGTGGGATTGGCCACATATGGAATGCTCCAGACAGCTGGCGTGTGCACCTGGAAAATGTGGGGTGCCCTGACAAGCTCCTGGAAGATAGTGGGGCAGGCAATGGGCCAGCGTGTGCAGCAAGAAGGGCAGGAGTTCAGGGACATCTAGTTGGGGACATACAGGGACATGTACTGCAACCTCACCCTGAAGGTCATGCATGCCATCCAGGCAGTGGATCCATCATCCATACATCTTCAAGATGGGATGACAACTGCTTCAACATGGACTGCTTGCCCACCTTCCTGGCTGGGCTTAATCTGGCATGGACTGGCCTCTACACGGTCTCCCTTCTCTTCTGGGAGAAGTGGCAGGCCACCTGTCAGCCCTCCAGAAAGTGGCGTCTGCCATGGCAGGACCATTTTCATGATGCCTACATGCTGTACACTTCATCTCCCTGGAGACTCTGGAGGCAGACAGCACACTGTCCCATTCCCATGGAGGACGTGCACAAACTGGTGAAGGTGCTGCTGTCCAGGCAAGAGTCAGAGGCCCTTTTCTAGGCACAACATGCCATGGCATGTCTGCAGCTACTGTTAACTGATGATGATCCACATCAGGAAGATCCCTCCTGGAGCAGGAGGGCCTCACCAGAACGTGTGGCAAGCCCACTGCACTGGCTATGAAAGCCCTAGATTGTCCCCTGGAAGAAACCTGCCAAGCACCCGGACACTAAAGGACCACGGCTGCTGCACATGCTGCTTCCTCAGCACAGCATCACCCATCCCAGCCTCTTCCCTTGGAGAAGGATGCAGCCTGGGCTTCCTGGCCTTCCCTCCTGGCAGTGGCCCTGCTCTGCTCCACAGTCGAGCAGCACATCTCCCAGGAAGGTGTCATGCCCACCCCAAGTGCTGATGTAAAGGGTAGAAAAAGTACGTCTGCCCTGTGCCGTGTGGGTTGGGAGTTTCTCGGAGTCTGTAAATAGCTGAGTTCCCCTCATGCTCATTTTGAAATTGAGAAGGGGAACACTCCCCAGAGAGGGGGAAAGAATTGGTCAGCTGCCATCACTGGTAGAAAAGCTATTTTTAATTTTATTAAAATGTCTCTCTAGTATAAACTTTCAAAATATCTGGAACCTCTGATATAAAGATTTGTGCCATGGCTCTGTAGCAAAGCTATTGCTCTTGGGGCCAGTGATAGTGGCACTCATGGGGGGATGCACCTGGCATCAGGGGACAGCTGAGGCTCTTCTTTGTGATCCGGAGAAGTGTGGGGAGCACCAGGGGAGCAGGGCATTCTGGAGGCACCCTCATAAAGGGGAATGTAGTGGCCAACAGGGCCAGGATGGGTCTGTGGCCGGAGCAGGAGCTGGTGCAGTGTCTCACCCACCTGCACGAGGCTGTGGGAGAGGAGGTGGAGATGGGACACTGTGTCGCTGGCCAGGCTCTCCAGTAGTGCCTGCTGCTGCCGTGATGTCTGCAGGATCTGCACCAGCAGTTGCTGGACGTTCTGGAGCAAGCCTGCCACGCCAGACCCTGCAGTGAGACAGGGGTCAGTGGAACCTCACCATGGCTCCGAGGGCTCCCTGTGAGGCTGTGGGGAAGATGCAGGGAGCACCCACCATGCAGGCTTGTGTCTGATGCATCTTCACCGGCTGCTGGCTGCTCACTCATGGCTGCTGTCCCGTGGGAGCCTGTGGCTGCAGCAGCCAGTGGCACCATTTGGTTTCCTCTTCCCATCCCTGGGGACGTCTCACCAGGAAAACCTGTCATGAAAGCTTTGCGTGGAGGAAACAACAAGAGTGATGGAGACACCCAAGCCCCAAATTTAGCTTGACTATGATACAGAGCCCTGGGAGGACACTGCCTCGGGGAACCCATGCCCTTCTCTCTGGCAGGACTTCTCACAGGATGGAGCTGTGCCTTGGAGCACGAGGACTTGCTAAAAGCTGCAGACACTTACCAGTCTTCCCCTCAGCTCCTTCCTGCTTCAGGTCAGTGTGACAGCCTGGAAGGAGAGCAGACATAGCCTGTGAGCTGCAGCCACCTCCTGCACCAGGGCACACAAGCAGGGTAACCAGGGCATGGTACTCACCCAGGAGGGAGACAGGAGAGAAGCAGCCACCGGCGTCTGCAACGAGAACCATATCAGACCCTGCTTGTGGGGCTGAGGGGGTTTACTGGGCTGAGCAGGGCAAGGAAAGCCTTACGTGGCATGGCAGGCAGTGAGGGTGGTACTCCAGTAATGTGGTCCCCACCAGCTGCTGGGAGAAAGCAGAGAGGAGAGATACACCTTCTGAAGGGACCTGCTGGTGGATCACCACCAGCCTGGGGTCTGCCCGGCTTGCCCCGGCCAGCCCCTCAGCCTGCCCTAGCCACAGCTCCAGAGCGCCCTGCAGGGCCCCAAAGCATTTCAGAGCTAGGTACAAAAGCAGGAGTCACTCACCCACCACTGCAATGCAGCCACCTCTGGGCTGGAAGGCAGCAGCGGCGGAGCAGCGCGCAGCAACGCTACACAACAGACTAGGACTGGAAGAGAAGGAGAATCCCACATCCACTTGAAACTGCAGGGGGAATTTGGGGAGACAGAAGGTAGTTACCCAGTGTGGGAAGATGGCCGGGGCACCCACACAAGCCAGACTCAGGGATGTATCCTGCCAAATCCCCGGAAGTGTGAAAAGGGAGGTGTGTGCAGGATACACACGTAGGTAGGCTGAAGGGCAGGGAGCTGCAGGCAGCTCTAGCCTTCACACACAGCCCCAAACTCATCTGAAGCTTTATGGTTTAACTGGGCAAGTGAGGAGCCAGGAACTGCTGAAGGAAAGGGAGTCACACGCCCTGCAATGCCACCACCCATGAGATCCCTGTGCTGTATCAGGGCACTGCCCATTCCATGATCTGTCATAGGGCAGCCAGCAGCCTTGCCATCCCTCAGGCTGGTACCCCCTCTTGCCCTATCCCAGCCAGCCACATCTCCACATGCTCTGGGGCTGGTCTGGAGCCAAAGCCTGTGGAGACAGAAGTCCAAACACAGCCATCCATTGACCATCCCCGCTGAGGAACATGTGACAGATCCCCTGCTCCTCTTAGCCTCCCATTCTCAGCATGCTGGCATGGTTTTGGGCTGGAGCCATGGCCACACAACTCAGTGCAGCAGGGCAGCTCAGTACTTACGACTCTCTGGCTCATCCTTTGCACGCTGCAGCACCGGTGACAGCAGCGTGGTGGGGGTGTCCCCGCCAATGTCGTGCTCTGCAGAAGGAGGTGAAGGGGTGCAGAAAAGAGCTTCAGTAACTGGGGCAAGAGGGGTGTCTGCCACCTCGCAGCCAGGACAAGCCCCACTCCGGCTGCATGAGCCCACGGATACCTGGTGGCTCTGGTGAGGATGGAGAGCGTATGGCAAGGGCTGACCTGCGCTTTCTGGAGGGCAGATTCACCACGTCTAGGGAAAGAGAAGACCATCAACAGACCCTGTATGTCCACGCCCCACCAGCGCTCCACCAGCACGCTACGTCCAGCCACCCTGCAAAGCCCCCACACCTGTCCTCGGTACCCACCTGGCATCCTCCGCTCGCCAAAGACGGGCCGCCCGGCAGCCTTCCAGATGCTCTTCATGGCTCGGTAGTGCGGCGGCAGCCGGGGCGAGTGGTGTCCTGCCCTGCGGCGCGTTTCTCGCTCCGAGTGGAACGCCTGCTTGAGCGCCTTCCACTTGGAGCGGCACTGGGCCACGCTGCGCCCGTAGCCGGCCTCGGCCAGACCGCGGGAGATCTCCCGCCAGAGCGCCTCGTTGGGTCGCGACGTGGAGGCCATGAGCAGCGCGGCCTCGCCCGAGCCCCCCACCAGCGACAGCAGGCTGCTGACCTCCGCCTGCGTCCAGGCTCGCCCGCGGGGCATGCTGCCGGGCCCAGCCGGGCAGCGATGACTCGGGCCCGGGCCGGCGGCGGGGCTCGGCCGAGCGCTGGCGAGAGAGGATCCCGGGAGGATCCCGGGAGGATGCCCCGCCGGGGGCGGCACCGGGAGGCGAACCAGGAACCGCGGCGGGAGCTGCACAGGGAACCGCCGGGAGCCGCCGCGGTGGCCGCGCCGCCGGTGGCCCCGGGAGCCGCAGCGCCGGGAGCCGCAGCGCCCGCCCCCGCACCGCACCGGGCGCCGCACCGGGAGCTGCCGGGAGGCGCCGGGAGCCGCATCGAGCATGTGCAGCCCCGGGAGGAGCCGCTGGGAAACGTAGTCCTCCTGGATGAGATATCCTCCCCCAGTGACAGCCGCCAGCTCGGAGCGGGGTCCTTGTTTGCCCGCAGGCTCCCGGGGGAGCTCTGGCACTCCCCCGTACGAGGGCGCGGCAGGGATGGCTGTCACGGCAGCCCTGGAGGCTGGGGCAGGGGAAAGAGCACCCCAGTCCACCATTTCCCAGGGCTGAGATACAGCTGCAGCCCCATGCGAAACAAGTGGCTTGTAAGCAAACACCCCGCGGCCTTGCTCCTTGGAGAGAATATTTCCTGTGCCCCAAGGATATCCAGCTTTCCCGTGCAGTCCCTAGGGCAGATCAGAGCGAGAGAACCACGCTTGTTAAACCTGGAGAAGAAAAGGTTCTGAGGAGACCTTAAGCTGCTTTCCAATACCAGAAAGACTACAGGAGAGCTGGAGGAGGACTTCCTACAAGGCGTGTGGTGATAGAATGAGGAATAGCTTTGTAATGAAAAAGAGCAAGGAAATTAGCTCCTATTTTAATGCCTTTATTGAAAAATCAGCTCTGGCCAACAGGTCACACGCACCACCACTGCTCCTGAAGAATGATCCAGAGACGGCAAGTCAACCTTGCTGTGCAGCAGGGCTGAACCGTCCGTACTCACAGGAGTCCCGCAGAAAACAGTGCTTGTCTCGTAGTCCAGAGGTGTCATGTCTATCGGGTGCTGTCAGGTCATGGTAACAAGGCTGGAGAGTCCTGGTTGGTGATTTCATCTTCTTCACTGTTTTTTTTTTTTTTTTTACTTGGGAGTACCATTTTTAGTGTTCGATGTTACATTGGCTCGTTGTTTTTAGGGGTTTTTGTATTACTGAGTTGTGTCCCATAAGCACTTGCGGTCTTCTCATTTGCCAGGCCTCATTTTGGGAGCAGCATGAAAGCATTACCCGAGGGGAGGGAAAGGGCACAATGGCAAGACAATTCCAGGGAGTGGGGTTTAGAACGGAACAACAGCAACAATTATCATAAAAACAGGGTGTTTTCCACAGTTAACAGAACATTAACAGAAAAACAGAAGAACTTGTTCGTAACAGCTTCAGACTGTCAGAGGACAGGTTAGACATTCATCATAGAATTGCAGAATATCCTGAGTTGGAAGGGACCCCCTGGGATCATCAAAATCCAGCTCCTGGACTTGCACAGGACACCCTCAACAATCCCACGTGCCTGAGAACCTTGTCCAAATACTTCCTGAACTCTGTCAGTCTTGGTGCTCTGATCACTTCCCTGGGGAGCTTATTCCAGTGTCCAACCACCCTCTGGGTGAAAAACCTCTCCCTAATATTCAACCTCAACCTGCCCTGACACAGTTCCCTCAAGTCCTGTCACTGATCACCAGAGAGAAAAGATCAGTGTCTGCCCTTCTGCTTCCTCTTCTAGACTGTGATGAGGTTTCCCCTCAGTCTCGTCCAGGCTTGAACAAACAAACTGACCTCAGCTGCTTCCCATATGGCTTTTCCTGTTCTAGGAAGAAATTATTGTGAAAGTGGTGAGGCACTGGCACAAGTTGCCCAGCGAAGCAGTCGATGCCCCATCCCTGGCAGTGTTCAAAGCCAGATTGGATGGGGCTCTGAACCACCTGGTCTAGTGGAAGATGTCCCTGTCCTTGGCAGGGGGCTTGGAATGAGATGACTTTAAGGTCCTTTACAACTCCATGACATGGCTGCCCAGCCCAGCCCTGGCTGCATGTTTGAGCCAGCAGCCATTCCCACTGCTTGCTGCCCCAAAGCCAGAACTTTGTGGTTCCCTGTTGCTGGGATGCCGGGATGCTGGCCTGAACAGGGCTGCCCCTTGCCCCAAGTGTCTGGCAGTTCCACAACCCCCCGGGCTTTTGTTGCAGGTGGTGCCTCTGGGGACCCCCCCAGGAAGTGACACTTTCCATTTTGCATGACACTTGTCTGAGAAGTTGGGCTGGGAAAGGGTTTCCACTGCCCCTGTGGGCTGCAGAGCAGACCTTGGAAGGGATGGAAGAGGCTGTCATGTATGCTGACCTGCGCTTTCCCCCCACTCCAGGTAATGGCCCCCCAGCTCTCTCAGTGGGTTCCTTGCTCTCCTGCAGCCCCTTGCCTTCCCCAGAAATGTCCTCCCAGACCTGCTCCCCCCACTCCCTCTTTCTGGGTGTCCTTTCTCAAACAACTCCTCTCCAGCCCTGTTGCAGACTGCCTGTTCTCGGGGTGGGGGGCAGGAGGGGCTCAGGGCAGGGAATGCCCACTGCACCCCCCCCCGTGCCACACCACAAACATTTCCCCTCTCTGCTCTCTCTGCCAAACATTGCGTGCAGGTAGATAATTTCTAGGACAACCAAGCTGCTGCAAATGGGCTCTCCCCCACTTTTCCCAAGCTCCCCCACTGCCTCCTGACATTCCACCTGGGATTCACAGACATTTCCTGGCTCAAGGTTCCCCACTGCTCCCTCCCCGGCTCCCCAGTCTACTTTAACTCCTTTTCTCAGCTCCTCAGCAGCGAATGCGCCTGCCCTGGTCCTGGGTAGCCCTCAGCCTGGGTCTCCTCTCCCTGATGCTCCTGCTGGCACAAATCATCCTTGTCAGCCTGAGTTTCCACTGTAAGTACCAGACATCCAGTGCCCAGATCTCTACAGAGGGGGTCCTGGGGTCAGGGCTGGCACCATAGCACTCGTGTACTAACAGACTGAGCTGCAGCTTCCCTGTGGAGCTGGGTCCTTCTGCTTGGGGTTGATAACACTGAGGGTTCTGAGGCAAGAAGGAAAATTGGTGAGACAAGAAACCATCTATGTTGCTGGAAAAGGAAGCTGGGGCGACAGCGTGGGCTTGGGGAAAGCCACTCTGTCACATGGCAATGAAAGAAAGGCAGGAGGGACGGTGCTGATACTGAAATTGAAAGACAGCAACACTTTGCCTGAAAGCCTGTTGTGTGGAAGGCTCCCAAGTAAAATCTGCAAGGACCTTGGCAGGCTTGGTGTACCTAAAGCAGGGGACACCTCATCTGCATGAGGCTGTCCTGTGGGAGAGAACACAGGGTGCTGGTGGGAGCAGGAGCCCAGAGTTGCTGAGACATATCTGTGCTCTTCTGCTGTAGATTTAGTGCAACAACAAACAAGCTGCACACACGGTCCCTGGAGTACAGAGGAGAGCCCCAGCTATGGAAAACAAACACTAGAAGGTAAGAGAGCTTGGTGGGCTCCTGGATAAGGTTTGGAGAGGGCTTTACTGCTTCTTTCAAGCAGTACGATCTGTCCGTACTTGAGGATGTTTCCCTGAGCTCTATCCCTACATATCCCTTCATCTTTACTGCCTGTCCTCTGGCTTGTGGTGTGGAGAGCTGCCCCAGCACTGCTGAGCAGGCTGAACTGCTGAGACCCCTTTAGAAGAGATGACCCCAAATGGCTTAGGGCATGCCACCAGCACCAGGATCATGGATGCCACCAGCATCCCTATGCAGGTGACATCAGCTTCTTGTGCAGCTGAAACCTTGACTGAGTTCCCAGCACTTTGGAAATTGTGTTTGTGTCACCTCCCCAAACCTGCAGCTCCCCACCCTGCTCAATTGCCAGCACCTTCCTGTAACTAGCCCCTCTTCCCAGGGCTCTGGGACTGGAAGGTTGGAGCTGGGCTCCCTAGTGAGGTTTAGTGCAGAAGGGCTTCTGTGGGGCAGACATACAAACACGATGGGTTGGTTGGTGCATGACTGCCCACTGTTACTCTCCTCGTCCCTTGGGCTGGTGGCAGCACCTGCGACCTGTCCCATCTCACCTGCTGTGTTTCTGGTGTGCAGGGCGATGCCAGTTTTGCCCAGTTGGCTGGCTCTGGGATGCAGGGCAGTGCTACTACTTCTCCACTGCCAAAAAGAGCTGGGAGCAGAGCAGAGAGGACTGCTGCTCCAGAGGGGCACAGCTGGTCACCATCCAAGCCAACACGACCCTGGTGAGTGCACCCAGCCTGGTGTGTCCAGCTCCCTGAGACCACTTGGCTGTCGTGGTGACCACCTCACAGTCTCTCAGCAGTCACTCACACACTGCATTTTCTCAGCTTCCTGGCCCATGTGCCTAAAGCCTAGCAAAGCCTCCAGGCAGGGAGCTGGCAATGTTGTGCCCATACAGCACATCACTAATCGTGTGGCTGGGCTGGATGTCCCCCCAGGGGCTCATGTGGGTCCTCTCCTGTGTTAGGCTTTCCTGGTGCGCACAGCTTACATGGATGCCTTTCATGTGGGGCTGAAGCAGGATGGCATCAGGTCTGACTGGAAGTGGCTGGATGGCACCACACTGGAAGGGTGAGGCTATCAGCTTGTTCCCAGCTAGGCATGCTGAGGGTCCAGCATCAGAGCTGGGGGTGGTGATGGGGACAGGCATGCAGGGATGTGATCCATATTTTGGCCACCTCTTATCTTCCCAGGACTGCATTGGGGCATTTTAGGGAAGGGGCATTTTTAGCAGGGGCCTGACCCTGGTGCCCACACTCTGCCTGGGTGAGCGGCCTAAGGGCATCCCATAAAAGCAGGGTCCCAGTTTGTTTGGTGCTAAGCCCTGCTAGGATTGACCTGGGGGTACTTTGTGAGTGATGGGGCTGGGGGCATCAGGTCATGTAGCCTACCTGGGAGGCAGGAGACTGTGCTCCATGGGGAGGGTGGACTTTTCCCCACAGCATCCTTCCCTGTGCGGTGTCTGGTCCCTGGCTGTGGGAGCTGCTGATGCGACAGCCTCAGTTCTTCCTGCCCATCCCGTCTCAGCCCACTCTCTCCCTTGCAGGATCTTCCCAATCCAGCGCTACACCAGGTCTTTCCAGGCCTGTGGCAGGGTGTCAGGCTTGGGACTTTTAGGTGGTGCATGCACAGAAGCCCTCAGGTGGGTCTGCAAGCAGAGGGCAGCCACCCTGCAGTGGCTCCAGTCCTCGCCTCCTGCCTTCCTCTGGGGAAACACCACCTACAGCTGTGTGAGGCCCTGATGGCTGTGGTGACCCCCAGCCTGTGCCACCACCCTGTTCCCTGCCTGACCTCAGTGCATGGGCATTCCCAGGCTCCACTGCCTCCTGGCCCAGACCTCTTTACCCTCCAGAACTCTGCACTTTACCAATAAATTCTGCCAATAACTGCAGCTGGCTTTGGGGTATGGGGGTGTTGGGATGGAGGTGCATCCTCCAGCTCTCAGACTTGGTTGCATCATTGACAAGTGGGAAATTGCGTCTGCTGTTCTGTGGCCACGAGCCAGCATTGAGCCAGCAGCAGTCCAAGCATTCCCATGGTCCAATGGTAGTGTGGAGCAGCTCCTGTGCAGGCTGGCACAGGTCCTGTGAAAGCTCTGGCATTTCTGATTTGGGGCATGCTGCTGAGAGATGACCCTTGGCCTCTGCAGTCTCATGAAGGACTTGGGCTGGGCAGCAGCTTGTTTGCTGGTGCTTGCCCAATCTGAGGAGGTTCCAGCAAATCTCACTTTGTTTTGAGGCTGGGTGATGTGTGAGAGCCTAAAGGCCTGCTAGGGCTTGTTTTGGAGTTGTTTGGTCCCAGAGGCTGTTCTGGTTTCAGTATAGACCACTGGGTTGTTCCAGCAGCCTGCAGTTCTGCATACACAGGGGAAAAAACCCACTTTTTGCAAATAAAGCAACTACTTCTGCTTTTCTGCATGTGAAGAGGTGTCCCTATGCAGCATGTTCTTAGCCACACTTTGCCACCTGACCACAG